TTTAAGGGCACCGACAGTTGCTTCTCCATTAGTTTTTAAGCATCCCTCGTTTTCATTTCAGTCACTTTTATCTCAAGGGCTTACTGCTTCTCGTCTCCGACTGCTTCATTTTTTGATTAATTGCTAAGACACCATTTCAGCTCCATAGGCTATATTTATTCTTTCGCCAGTTCTTTGCAGTTAGTTTAATACCAAGGGTGCATGCCTTACTATTTGATTTCAAAGCGACAGTGAAAGCCATAAACTCGAAATCTTCGGATTTCAACTGGCTGTTACATAAACCGAGCGATCAACTCGCTTTTAAGCATCAACCTTCGATAGCCCTGCGTAGGCTGGTTGTTATTGTCATTCAGGCTATTTCGAGTACTTGTGCCTGTCATAGAACATGAATACCTGAGAGATTTCCAATTTTTGACGTATTGTGAGATGAATGATTTTAAATTAGCTTACATACCGTATTGCTTTCCCTGATCTTTGATCTCAGCCGTAAATTCTTGCGAATTCCTGGACGTGATGAGCCCAAGTTCGAAATTTTTTTTATGTAGCGTGTGACAAGGAGGATACCGAGAAGTACCACCATCCCGCAGTGAACGGTGATTTTGGGCAGGGTCCTTCCGTCCACAGGGGCCAAACGGCCCGTGGTGGTCTTTTACTTGCATCTTCACCTTTTCTGGCGTCAGTATTCTTCAACAAAACATTATTAACTTTGAGGATCTTGGTTAATCATTTTACTAATTGTCTTTTTTTAATTATTCCTTATTTAAAAAGTTTCAAAAAAAAATTTGCACTCAAACTTAATCTAATCAAATTCACGTAGTCGCCAACAGCTTGCTTCCAAACGGTTTTGTGAAAGAAGGAAGCATCGGTATCTCTAACAGTAGATGTTTTTCTGTTGGCATTTGCTACCACTCGAACTACTTCCGATTGCCTCTGCTTCCAGAAACAACAAATATGGAAGGAATTTCGAATTTGTTTCAAAATACCTGAAACTGATCACATTTAGTTCAGTTAAGTTTGACTAAAATTGAATTCAGTTCGATCTTTTTTGAATAAGAGCGGCTTTCGGGAACATCAATTTTCTTCTGTTTAGCAAGTAGGGACTACATTAAAACCGGACTTTGCATGGATTACATTTGTGTCAGGAAATCTTCAAATTTGATTTATGAGTTGTTCTTGATAAGATTATTTCATACGAACCACTGAATGAGTGTGTGTATGGTATATATGTATGTATATATGTGTCGTGTATATGTACTGTTTTTTTGTATGTACGCATGTGGTGTATGTATGTGGTAGGCGCGTGCTGGTACGTAGTATACGTAAAAACATGCTGAACATACGATGTATATGTATATACCAACGTTATATACAAGCACTCAGTTTCAGAATTTGGGAATAAATCGGCTGGCCCACTGCCTACGCATTAATTTGATAGAAAAAGTGCTGGGAATGTGTGCGATGCCGTGCAATAGTGAAGAGGTGAGATTGAGTGAGTAAAGAGGAAGGGAGCAGCCCAATGATATAAGCATGAAATCGGCATGGGTGCAGTGCTTTTTTCCTGGAAAACGTCTAACTTCAAGCACAGTGCCGGGCGCGTGGACTAAAGATGTGGATACACGAAAATGTGGACGCATCGGGAAGGGAGGAGAAGGAGCTGGCTAATGGACATGGGAACGCATATATCCATCAGCAAATGAACGGACAGACAGGCCGAACTAAACTAACAGACAGACAGACTTAGGTGGCGAACAAACTGGCGGACGACAAACCACCGCACGCAAACAGCGGACGTGCTGGTGGACGGACGAAGCATCAGCGGCGGACGGCTCAGCGAAACAGGCGGACAGACAGGCACTGGCTAGTGGACGGAGATCATGACGCAGGGCAGGCATTCCGATGGCCTTCGCAGTTCCAGGGGGTACGCGGGGTGCGGAAGAGGACTTCTTTTCAGAAGGGAGCATTGGTTGTTACCTCAGCAAATGTAAGGCGCAGACGGGCAACCGCTTCTTGCTGTGCAGCCTGCCGTCCTGCATGCAAATCCTCCCGCTCCACGGCCAGTGCACTGCTTCCGGTGGGGGAACCTCAGCAACTAATTCTACGGGCTGCTGCTCCATCGATTCCGAGGCGCACAGTACAGTACTGTTCTGCAGCAGCAGCAGCACGATTTGCCGCACACTCACCCCCAACAGACAGACAGCCGCACAGGCACCCAACCTCGGAGGAGCTGTGCTCTCATTGGGCGCCGCGCTACTGTACTTCTGGATCGATTTATCAACGGTTCGCCTCGCTTTCAAATTTGTGTACACACCTTACTTCTTCGCCCCTCTTGGACGCTGCAGTATGTATGTGTGCAGGTGTAAATGTCTGTTGGTGCATGTGTCTGTCCGCGTCGGCATGTTTGTCTGCACAGATAGATAAATCTTGCTTGTGTGGACAGATAAATTTTGCCTTGGTGTACAAAGTGCTTGGAATATGGCAGTGCCAGCTATCCAGAGAAGCCCAAAAAATTACTGCATTTCTGTGTAAAGACAGACCACAGGTTAGGCGTTCCTCATCTTCCAGGTTTCCCTCTTTCTCACCAGCTATCAAACAGCGCTTTCTCAGCACTTGTTATGCGTGCGCCTGTGTGTGTATGCGTGTGCGCCTGTGCGTGTGCACACATACCGACGTGTATGAGATATACATAGGATATACATTCATGTGTTATTGTGTTCATGTCTGTTTATATATATATATATATATGTGCACGTATATATATATATGTATATATATATATATACGTGCACATATACATATACGTACACACACATACATATACATACATGTGCACATATATATGAATATGTATGTATATATACATTACATATGAATGCTTACCTGTAAGATGTGCATACATATATTTGTGTGTGAGTGTGTGTTTTGCAGATGAGAATGTCTATGGCATGTATGTCCGTGTGCGTGTGTGTGTGTGTGTGTGTCGTAGCAAGTTGATGTTAAATGAATCGGAGTTTCTGGATTGCGTTGCTTCAATGATATGTATGCGATCACTGCTGGCTTTCTTTTGAACGGGCGGAGAAAGTGGAAGACAAACCCGAGAGCATCGTGGTGGTCCGGCCAATAGGCAGTGATAGTTTGTTGAAGTACCTCAACAGCATCCTCAGTGCTCCTCTGCATCCAGACACACATACCCCGTCTTCGCTCCTCTCCGCCCTATCTGAAACACTACTGGCTTTTGCGACGGCAAAACCAATCCTCCGCTCACCGGCGCTCTTGTCATCTTGCTGTCACTGATAAGCCCCTCTCATCAGTACCGATATGAAATTGGGCATTCGCACATGTAGTATTAGTGGTAGTGATAGTAATAATGATGATGATGGTAGGGATGATGGTAATGATGACGATGAATGCGCAAGTGTTGATGATAGTGACAAGAGGGATGGGGGTAACGATAAAGGTGATGATAGTGATGGTGATGATGACAGCAGTAGTAGCAGTAAAAATGATAATCGGTGGTAAAATTCATTTGTCTTCACTGGTGGGGCTCTACTTCATCGCTCCGCAGCGGCCAATGTCGTCGCTCACCACCCTGCTAGACCGTGCTGGCAAAACTGCTTGGTTCACTGAATAACTTTGAAACTTCATTCTTTTTCAGGAGCCAAATTTGCTCTGGGACCTCGAATTTGATTTAACTTTGAGAGCGTGAACTCAAATATACGAATTACTATTTTCACTCGTAGACTCGAATTGCTTACATGAATTTGAATTTTTTGCTTTCTTATATTATCGCACTTACTGATTTGACAGTTGGCAGTGATAAAATCAGTGTAAGAATTCAGGAGTACAAAAAACGTGGATATGAGGATGGATTTTGGTCTTGTTTTGCTTCTCAACCAATCCGTCCGTTCTCTTTTGGTCTGGGATAAAATTTCCTTTTTTTGTCTGTTTTCCTTGCCTGTAGTCTTTCTCCGTATGTGTTTCTGGACTTCAATATTTTCTCGCATGATCCAGATGTGCGCGAGGGACGGTCTCGACCAGAAGACTACTGCAACACTGTTGTTAAGCTTGATTTTTTACAAAGTCATCGTGGCCTCATCATTTATCGAGTGTTTTGTGATGAAAGCTGGTCAGGAGCGGCTTTTCACTTCGCAAGAGGGAAGTTTGTTGAGATTCAGTGAAAAGATGAAACGATGAAGTGAGGGTGTGCAGTATATGGGAGCTTTTAAATGCTAATTCGAAGAGCAGCCTCTACATTTGTTATCAGCACTTTTACGTGGGTAGTTTCCGAATTGATAATGTGGGTTGATAAATTACTTTTTTAGGCGGCGAGTTAACAATTAACTGTTGGTAATTTCGAGTACTAGCAATTGTTAGTGACGTTTCCCTGAGTAAATCTGAGTATTAGTATGAGTTGCCGTTTTTGAGTACTAACAGCAACGATAACTCAAAATCTCGTTAAATCAAGATTCAAAACTGGTATGTTAACACGGTTCTGGGTCGGAGCCTGACATAACCCGCGTGTAGGAAGCATTCCTGTAATCTCCTACACCGACTGTTGGGCAGTCACAGCACCTGTGGTATTTTAACATTGGTGAATAAACTTCCTGTTTGTTTAACTTGCTGTCCACCAGGATATTTCAGCAAACATTCCAGTGTTCACAGTTCAGTGTTTGAGACCGATAAATTGCAGTTGGCAGATTTAACATTATAATTGATTCAGCATTTCTTACTGGCGGACATGGTACAGTGAGGTTAAGCATTATTGTAGGACGAGAGTTTAAATATCGCCAGTGAGATAATTAAGCTCTCTACGATTTGTTCATTTGTTTCGATGGTAAATTGATACTGATAGTCAAATCATCCATCAGCTTGCTTGTAAGCAATCCTCGAATGAGGAAGCTATTGATAGACTTGGAAGTTTTCAAGTGCCTCTGTCCCTTACGGAGGATGAATACCGAGGGGCTGTGGTTTTTTTGAATTCAGTATTTAGGCTTGAATAAACGGTCCACTTGCCAGTTTATGATTTGGAGTTGAGAGTAACATTCTGGCTAATAGTTCAGTATTTCAGGATTAAGCATTCCCATTAGTAGTTCATTGCTTGGAATTCATAAACACTTCAGTTGGTAGTTTTAGCCACTTTGAATTGGTGAAAGTTATTTTTAAGGCTAATTGGTAGTTCCAGAATGATCAAGTTTTCGGAGAATTTTGAGATATTGCCGTTTAAAATCTTATTACATTAACCACTGCAGCCGCTGTTTGTTTAGCATTAGATGCTAGGTTGTTATTTTATTAAGCTAGGCAAAACTATAAACGTTGTTTAAGGCGGAAGTATTAGCTTTTTATAAAGTGTGTTGGGAATATTAGAAAGTTGAAAGCCACAGCATAACCGTAGCTTAACGTGTCGCATTTCCTGAATTTTGCTGCGACGAAAGGTTCTGATTCGCAGCCATTTTTAGCAAAGCTTCGGCCTCTTCCAACACCGATTTTTTATTCTTCACTTTTTTTGTGAATTTTTTGGGTTTCCTTTTGTTCCGAAAAAATTCCAGTGCCTTTTTCCAATTTATTTAGCTCAGAAAAGTCATGTGTTTAGAAGTATGACTGTTTCTGCTTTTACTGTTTAACTTTTGTTTTTTCTGCTTGATTAATTTTCAAGAAGTTTTTGATGTCCCTCTTCCTCTTACCGTTGGTCCTCCCCTCTCCATCCTATGTCCTCCTCGACGTCTGTTCATGTTGGCGCAAGCAGTAGGACCAGTTTTACCTATAGTCTATTCGGCAAACAGTTTCGTTTTTCCCAAGATTACACCGTGAAGGATCACACCGTTACTCTTTGAAAAGCATTCGAATGATTCAGCCCAAGTTGCTTTCTTACTTATTGGCAAAAATTTACCGAACAGTTTCTGGATAAACCATCCAGCTTCACCTTCGTCAGTGGGAAACTAGTCCCTTTACGATTCGTCCATTCGTTTCGGTGGTAAATTAGTACTAGCATTTATCAGGGATTTCAAAAAGTTTTCAGCCTGCTTCCTGAATATCCTTTAGAGAGGGAAATCTCCGACAGCATGTATCCACTGGCTTCTTTTTCTGCTTTCAATTTTCTCTCCATTATGTGAAAATTTGTAAGATGTTGAAAAAATTCTTATGGGGGGCGACAAAATGTTTTGTTTTCGATTTTCATATTCCTTATGAATTGAATTTATCTTTAATACAAGTGGAGGGACAGAAAAGCTGAAAAAAAAAATCCTCGCAAATCTAATAGAGGCAGAGCTGAAGAACAAAAGTGAGGGAGAATTTTTACAGTGTAGAAGAATTGGGAATTACGTATTTCAACAGATGTAAATTCTTCCCTCTTTTGCGGCGATTCTTCGCAAAGGGAAGGAGATCTTGCAGCAGTAAATCAGAATCACTGTCAACGTTATGTTGCTATTAAGAGTTTGTAATACTGTATTTTTGGTCTTAATAATTTGCATAATTCTGTTTCACTGTTCTTTCGTCCGCAGGCAGCAATAATCCGTACCAGCCTTTCCATGGAACAAACATTTTTTTTTTCCTATTCCGTGCTTAATACCCTTCAATTCCATCCAAAACATGCTTTTTTGGCGTTTTCGAGGAAGTCGAATTGAGTTACGGTTGAAGTTTTTATTTTTTGTTTGATTTTTTCTACTTTTTTTTGTGTTTTGCCAACATCGATGGACTTGAAAAAAATGCAGGCCTTAAAGTTATGTTTATGAACGCAGTACTCATAGCAGCAAAGCAGAGAAAGGCTGCTGCACTTTGGCTGAAGTATGAGGGGAGAGAAGCGGGGAAGGAATGAATGCGCAGTACATACGTAATAATGATTTTTTTGACATGTCGAATACACAAAAAGCACAAAAATTCCGGATTCACTGTCTCCTTTTGACACAGTCCCAGATGGTTCTGAATGGCAGATTTTTAATTCTCAAAATTAATTCAAGAAAGCAAAACAAGGGAAAACAGTCAAAATAATGTGAACATAGGCCTGTGGCTCCAGGCTTATGTTTTCCATTTAAAAAGTCTAAGAAAAAATATGAATATGGGCTTAAAATTGAACCCTTCAATTGACAAAGATGACAAAAATCGTAAGATTTCAAATACCGAAAAAAGTGCAAGACCTTAATTAATAAGAAATGCATAAAAACTGGCAAAAATTTCAGTATTTCAAATGGCGAAAAAATACAAAATTTTTTTAGTTGGAAAAAATTTGCGAAAAATGTCAAAAATTTCAAAATTAGCGCAGAATTTTTAACAACGCGTTGAATCCAATAAAAGTCCTGGAATTTTCGAATGCAGCAGAAATTCGGGGAACTTTAGAAAAAACAGTAACAACGTACAGACACGCATCGCCAGCAGAGCACATATTAT